TTTCTTACTTGTATTAAAGAAACTTGTTTGTTTGTTTGAAGTTAAGCACAAAGCTACACAATGGGCTATCTGTGCTCTGCCCACCACGGGTATCGAAACCCGGTTTCTAGTGTTGTAAGTCCGAAGATACCACTGTGCCACTGGGGGCTTAAAGAAACTTATCACGATTTTGCTAGGTTACAAACGGTTATACCATTCTAGGTCTTCACATTATGAAATTATCTGCAAACATTGAAAATACGGAACAAAGTACCCCCCGGTGGGACAACGTTAAGTTTAAGGACATAAAATCCTAAAATCCGGGGTTTGATTCCCCCGTAATAGACATATGAGATAGGCCAACGTGGCTCTGATCTAAAGCAAACAACAGAACAGAACAAAGCCTGGCATAGTCTGGTGTTAGGGTTCTCTACTCACAATCTGCGGGTCGTGGGTTTGAATCTCCCTCCCCTTACATGCTTGCCCTTTTAGTCGTGGGGTGTTATAATGTGACGGACAATCCCACTATTCGTTGGTAAAAGAGTAGCCCATGAATTGTAGGTGGACGGTGGTGACTAACTGCCTTCCATCTAGTCTATCACCGCTAAATTAGGGACGTTTAACGCAGATAACTCTCGAGTAGTTTTGGGCGAAATTCAAAATAACAAACAACAACAACAGAACGAAAAAAATAACACTTGTATGTTGGTTATACCTACACGCCGTAGCAACCAATATGATTAACTATTAAAAATAGATGATTGAATTCTAACTAAAGAAAAGGTGCAAAAACTACCCAGAACTGAAGTTATTGGCGTTCCTATGAAGGTGAAATAAGAAAATTTACAGCAAAACAAACGTGACCTTTTTTTTACCGAGAATGGAGAGTTTATTCTCGAGAAAATATGATATCAAGTAACTTTTTTCTTGTAAAAAATACCAAATATTTAGTGAGAATAAATTCACATTACATGCTATAACTACAGTAAAATATCTAAAGTTGGATTATTATGATCATCTAAAGACGCAAAACAATCCCAAGACATTTGACATTTGATTTATTTAACTAGATGTTGAGGAAGTAAAAGTACAGTTTTTTTCTCACTACTTTATAGATAATCAAGTTGGGATGTAAGCGAAACTTTCTTTAACTGTTATCACAATAAGAACGAACGGTAGATGGTATTTTTATCATATATTTACAACAGACAACAAAACTAACGAAAAATTATGACTGGCTATACGGTAAAATCTGCTATACATGTTATGCATAAATATGAATATAGAATCCAGAAGGTATTAACTTGACTATTTTTAGCTTGCAGTTAATGTTTCGATAATAAACTGTGGTTTTCGTGAAATGTTTATGTTTGGTACGATTGGATTTCCTTGAAGTAGGAACTGTTAAAAAAGGATTTACTGTTGAAGCAAGGAAATATCTAAACTCACCAATATGAAATCTCTCGTTGCATTCTGACGTATTCTTTCCAATTATCTCAAACTGAGGGAGTTTCAGATCCTCATAAAGGTTGAGAGGATTCTCCTCGGACCAGGTTAGGTCTAACTCCTTAGTTGTCTTGGAGACTAGTAAACAACCCAATAATACGCTTTACGTGAAATCAACAAACTATTTTGAAATGGCTGTTGTTAATAATTTTATAAGTGAATGAAAGCTATGTCTTTGAAATGGCTGTTGTTAATAATTTTATAAGTGAATGAAAGCTATGTCTTTGAAATGGCTGTTGTTAATAATTTTATAAGTGAATGAAAGCTATGTCTTTGAAATGGCCGTCGTTAATAATTCTATAAGTGAATGAAAGCTATGTCTTTGAAATGGCTGTCGTTAATAATTTTATAAGTGAACGAAAGCTATGTCTTCTTTCAGTCTTGGCATAAATTCAAACTTCAATATAATACTTATAGATATCTTCAATTTTACATAACATTAATCAAAATATACATGATATACGTTGCTGAATAGAGATATAATTTCTTATTGTATTGGGGATATGTATTTTTAAAGAACTAGAACGTAGCAGGTAAAAGTTTACAAAACTGTTTAAATCTATATGAATTAAGATAAATTTGTTGATAAAATTTAATTTCAGCGAGATAATTCAAGTGTTAACGTTTTATAACAACTGTTATTATACAGTGTATGTTTTGTTACTTTATGTAGAAAACAACACACTTAAATTTTGCACAAATAAAGTGTACATTACTAAGATCTAGTTGAAAAAAAACTAAATTAACAGAATAAAAATGACAGTAATTTATCTTTATGATTTATATTAATTAAGCAAAATTACGAAATTCAATAAGTAAAGTTCCATATCGTTTTTGTAAACAATATAATTACTTGCTGTAAAAATGAAGCATTTTGTATATTAATAATTTGTATTAGTTTTGATTTCACAGTAACTAAATTTATCAAATTTTCTAACCTAAGGGATAATTAAAAATCCTGCATATTCTACAAACACTTACAGGATGCCAGTTCAATAGTACAAACTTGAGAATCTAGAGGATATCGATAGAGATCCATCATGCAGGAGAATGTCAGTTTCAACCTGTAGGTATTTAGTACTATTAAAGATCTGTTCGTAAATAAAATACATAAGATGAATATATGGTGAATTGTTACACTATTTTAAAGGTACATATTATATAGAAGGTCATTTTTTTCTAAGAAACGATGATTAAGTTCGACATATTGTTACTGAAGATTGCATTTTCCTCAATGACTTTGCCCTCTTTTCTTTCGCCCCCAGTGGTTCAGTGGTAAGTCTTAAGGCTCATAACAATAAAAATCGGGTTTCGATACCCGTGGTAGGTGCAGCACTTAAAGCCCAATGTGTAGCTTTGTGCTTAATTACAAACAAACAAATATAAACAAACTCTCGTCTAAGTTTTTTATTAACAGTGACTTGCAGTGGTGTTCTCACGATATAAGGTATTTTTGAAGGACAGCCATGCCAATGCTTTCTCCCAGTTTACAGACTGGCTAATTTCTGAGGTCAATAGTTTCCAAGTGCACGATTAACAGGATCAAAGTTCCAAAAGTCGGTTAAAGTTACGTGGGAGACTTGATAGGCATGTGGTTTGAACGAGATTGGTCTAATTCTAGTTTCTTCGGCCATCTTTTTTTTAATTTTAATATAAAACATCAGTTAATTTTTAGCTGTAGGTGCTCAAAAATGTAAAGTTTGTTATTTGCGATCTTTCGTCAACTTCTTGTTGATTATATTATAAATGATATCAGGAGATATACGCAGTTTCTCCGCAATATCTTTTTTTTGTACTACATGTTTATGTTTCTTAGCTATAACTTTGTTTTTTGTGGATAAAAGAGGGTATTAATCCTGACTGGCTTGATATGTGGTTTCGAAGTCGTCGTCGTTCTAAACTCGATGCCTTGCGGGTTTTATTATTATTTGCTGCTATAGAAAACAATAAAAACTCTCTTCTTCACGCCATTGTGCCCTTTGGTTCTGTATCGTTTAACAACTTTGTTGTACGGTTATTTCTCGTCGGAAAGAGCGATAATATAACTTTGTACCCACCAATCAAGTTTTAAAGAATTTTACAAAAGGGTTTTTCTTTTATATGTTGTCACCCGGTGGAACAGTAGTAAGTCTACAGAATTGCAACGCTAGGGTTCAGGGTTTGATTCCGCGAGGTGGACACAACAGATAGCCCAATGTGGAATTACTATAAAATAAACATACACATTTTGTATGTGAGACAGGCACCTGTCTATCAGCCGACATTCGCAAAAAAATAGTAGCTAATTCGTTTGCACTTTTATAACCTGTAAATAAAACTCCGTATAAAGACATTTAGGGTATTTTATATGAATGCTGATTGATAATCATCTAAAAGTCTGAAAACGTTTCAGAAATATATTATGTAAAATTTAAAACTACTTGTTATATATGTGCTTGTGTCTAACAAACAATATTATAATCTTAATAAAAAACTTGCTATGATTTAAATAAATGTTATCCTTGTTTCCAAAAGACACATGAGCATTGTGTAACAACTTACTATAAAACATATACATATCTGCTGATTTTGTTTTCTGGAAAAAAGGCCACTGTATGAGGTCTAAACTTGATTTACTTTCTCGTGAAACAGTTAAAGTCGTATTCAAACAAATATCGAATACCGAAAATTTATCGAATAAAGTGAGAAATATTCTTACAAAATAAACCAGAAAGTAGCCAGTGAGCACTGAATCAATTTTACAAGCTTATGGTTATTAACCACTGTAAGACTTTATAGTTTTATTCAGTTTAAATGCTTTTATTCAAACCTGCATGTATGCAACTGACAGGAATTCAACATTTTGTTTTTGAAAATATTTAGGTATTTATATAGTGATTTTTGTATTGCTTTGTATATCCATCCCTATCTTTTTTCTGTACTTTTTGACATTGCCATCCCTACATCATACTTACTTTTTGCAAATGTTTTTATAACCTGTTCCCCCTTTTTTAAAACAATTTTATTGAAGTTGGTTGATAGATGAACATTTGTTTTATTTTTATAATTCAATGGTAATGTGTATTGTCAATATCATGTCACTTTGGTCAGTTTCTTCATTTCACATGTAGAATGACCTCAGTTATTGATATTATACCATACAGTTGGCTACAATAGATTATCAATCATCACTGCTCATAGTCTTGATTTCTTGGGACTTAATGTTGAGGAACCTATAGTAAGGAAAGAACATATTAAAAATGTATAGTTGCATGATCCCTATATTCATGTTTGCATTCTTTTTGGCACTGCTATCCTTTTACATTTACGAAATGTTTTTATTACTTGTTTTGTGACGTTTTTCCCTTGTCTGAAAGTTAGTGTATTCTATGAATGTAAGTAATAAAATTAATATTATGTGTATTGATTGTTTTACTTCAAACATAATATAAATGTTGGCTCCCTAAGAACACCGATTGTATAATGTACATAACACTGAGTATTCTACAAGTTCATCTATTATTGGCTGGTAATACTTGCTTCACTCTGTATTTAAGCTTTTTTAAAAGAACACTAGATTTGTGTAAGAAAACAAATTTCAAGGCGTTAAAGTTAACACCGTTTACACTAGAATTATTATTTTTTAGCTTATACTAAGTACTACAATGCTTAATTTCTGTCGCATTAAAGCCATTGCGAGAACTTCATGGAATTTTTCGCCAGCTTGGGAAAAGAAAAAGAAATAGGAACACTTTGGCTCTTTAGCTAGTTCAAAGTTTTCCACTTTAACAGCATATTTCAATGATATTGGTAATCTCAAAAGCTGTGAAACACTCGATAATGGAAATAAGGTGCTCAAATAAAGCTATAATTTAACTTTAACAGTTATTTGTAAGCATCATAGAATAATACGTTGAATACGGCAGCTTGTTTCTCGGACCATCACTAAATACTAAGCACTACTGTGCTTAGTGATACTGGAACTTATATATAAATATGCTGTGATGATCGTGCAGTTTCATGAACATGGTTTAGTTATTTACCATCGGGATTTTTGTAATTCATAAAGAACTTTTATAAACACTTTATGTAGAAAATACAATTAAAATAAAATCATCAACTGATTAGATTCTTTAAACAACTAATAATTTTTACACAACTTTGTTTCTTTCTCATTAGTTAGTAATTGATAGTTAAAAACAGAACATCATTCAATATCATAAACAACTTAATATTATGTGTTATTTCCAAAGACTATTGAATTTAATTTTTTTATTTAACACTGAAATATGTAAGTTCCTAGCATCTTAAACTAATCAAAATATACGATGCCAACTATATCTTGGCCAAAAATCGATTGCATAAGTAAAATAAATAATTATTAGAAAGACTGGCCACACTTTTGCACTTTTGAATATTAATTAAGTGTTACAATAATATTAAACTCTTTAATTTTTATCAATTTTTATTTTAGAATGTGCACCTTTCGAAATAATATAAAAAACAAGAAAGCTACCCTCTTCTATATGTAAGGGAAGACAGCTAGCACAAGGTAATCTTCCGAAACGTTTACAAACTTTGAAATTTAAGAGATATGATACCATAATTACCCGAGAGCTAGAGATAACATGTACTACCTGACAACGTTAAACAGATATAAAAGTTTAAGCCGACAGGCTTGTCAAGATCTAATGGGCCAATTAATAAGTAAATCGTTACTTCATTTACGTCATCTAGATAATTTATAAAGAACATAATATACTAAAATCATTTTAAGAGTTAATGGGTTTTTCTTTTACAAGTAATTCATTAACGATTATAGCCAAAGGGAATAAAATGATTTTGTACCAGCGTCTTTCTTCAATAGAAAACTAATCGCATTTGTAGAATGACATTGTGGTAAGCGCGAGTCTGAACATTAATTCCAAGAACATATAGCAACATAGTCGTAAGTGAACAATGAAATAACTGAGGAACACTGGATCTCTAAAAGGCCGTTTAAGAGCTTTATGATGGTTAGAAATTTTATAATAATGGACGTGATACATTATAATTTAGGGTCAATGATCGTAACTGTATGAGTTGTGTGTCACCGAATACTCGCGTGCTTAGAGGTAACATAAAAGGGGTAATTTTGAAGGAAGGGAAAGACTATAATAGGAAGTTATATCTCAAAGTCCAAACGAAACTGTTCAATATATTTAGTAATAATACCTATAGAGGGGGCTATAAAGAAAAACCCAAAGTAACATAAACATGGCTTAATTTTATAATACCTAAGCATGTAGAGTATTTCTCCTGACGGGTTGATACGAACTAATACGTTGGGAACGGTAACATACTGAAACTCTGCAATTTTTGCGTTGGCGAAAAACACCTCAGGTTTCCAAATCCGCTTTACCAGCGTAGGATCGTTGAGATCTAGTGGTTTTGAGAGATTTGGCTTCCGTAATCTTTCATCCAGCCATTTCTGTCTCAGGTATAAATCTACCTCGTAGTCCTTAGAATAGACCAGAGAAGATGCAATAAAGAAAAAAAAGATGTGGTAACCCAAATCCTAAATACCCTAAACAGGTAGCAAAAACAAAATTACCAGTTGAACTGTAATTAAAAACATTTTATTCTTCTCTCACTTTTGAACATAATTATATTTGAATGATAACTCTAAATATCTTCAAGAAAAGTATCAATAGAGATTTTCAAATAAATTACATAGACATACTAAATCATATACACACTCAGTTTTCTTATTAATTAGTGTTGATTGATGAATCATATGTTTGTTTTTTATTTCTACATACTGTGAATTTGAGTATTATATCTTCGCATTATCATTTCTACAGTTCCCGTTTAACCTTGTCATAATTTAGTATGTAGTAACAAGTGAGTCAAGAAGGAAGATTTACACTCATACTCCCACTCATAAGTTAGTGCATTTCGTTAATACGTTTCATTCTTTAGAGAATTTTATATTTCCCCGAAAGGAGGCCGAAGGCCGCCTGGAGAGGTCACGTGTTTTAACACTCGCACCACTATACAGTAGTGTGTTGTCTGTCAGTCAGCCAGTAGACACTAAAATGGCATCACATATGGGGCACTTAACGTTGCTGTTTGTAATGTCGTGACGTCAATAAAACGGCACATGCATGATTCGCGAGAAGAAGTATGCACTTCGTAGGCTACAAAACAGCATAACGTATGAATTTCCAAAGCAAGAAATAAAATATTTGTTACTCTTAATTTTAAAAAAATTAAAAAGAACCATGAATATAAGTACAAATACAGTACCAGTATTTTGTTATACCAGTAGTATACTGCCCTCTAGGTTCGGTTATAACTTCATTATAAGTGTACTTAAAGTGTTATTGCAGGTCATGAATGATGGAAAGAGACATTCCGTCAGTTATATTTTAGAGTAATGTTATAAGACAGAATAGAAAATTTGATAGGAAAATATTAATATCATTATTAATAATTATTAGTTATCATTACACATAGAAAGATTATTGTGTTTATATGTCGATAAATGTAAATACTTCACGAGTATGTGACATAAAGCTATAGTTTTTTAATACCGGCTTTATTTGGTTTTGTTGGGAAACTTGCGTTATTACATTGCAAGTTTGATAATTAGTTTTGTCTTCGGGGAAACGTTGTTGTTGTTCGTTAAATTTCTTGCAGAGATACTCGAGGGCTACCTAGGTTAGCTGTCCCTAATTTTGAAATGATAGAACTAGAGAGAAGACAACTTTTTCAACATCACCTACCACCAACTCTTGGGCTACTCTTTACAAGCGAATAGTTAGATTGACCATCACATTATAACGCCCCAAAGACTAAAAGAGGAGCATGTTTGGCGATGGATTTCGACCAGCAGATTACGAGTCGAGCGCCCTAACAATCACGCATGATTTCCCTAAGGGAAATGAGAATGAAAGAAATGCCTAATGAAGTAGTACAGACTGTTAACTACATTTACTGTCTGAATCTTATAATTAGTAGTTTTACATTACGGTTTTAGTTTTATGTAGAAAATGTACACAAGTTTTGTTTGTTTCTTTATTGTTAAACTACACAATGGTCTTATGTGGTGTGTCAACCACGGGTATCGATACTCGGTTTTTAAAGTTAAAAGTTTTGAGACGTGCCAGTGAGCCACTTGGGGACACAACTTTTGTTGAAGTAACAGTCAGTATTAATTAGTGTTATTTAGTATCCAACATATACGCTTGTTAAAAGTTAGATGTGTACATACATTTCTCGTTGGAGACGGTTTTGTGTATAGGGATGTTATGTCATCAGTCCGTGAATTTTTCTAGACCTTTCTACAACATAATACATGCGAAAAGCTCATTGTATTTTTTGCTTGAACATATATATGTCAGAGCTAACGTACAACTTTACTGGATAGTGAAAATCTGAAAGAAGTTTCCATGTCCTTTCTATAGAATTTAATTCTTTGAATGACTTATTGAAAGTTACATAGGAAGCTCTGTAATTTAGGGTTCAGAATGGCTTGGCTCTATATAGAACTGTTCGCCATCAACTTTTATAACACACAAAATTACTTACGGGTCCGCGACTCTCTGGTTACTGGATTTCTAATAATATGATCGATATTGCAATTAATTCGACTATTTACTGTTAAGTTCCCCTTATGTATTTTACATAGAAAATAAGATATTTCGCCAATTTGGTTTTTTTTGGCCAGCTCTTCACTGTAACAGGAAAAACAATAATATTACTTGATATGGCACAAAATGGGGAATTCACTGGTATAAAACGGTATAAGAACAAGTCAGTTTGTTTTTGAATTTCGCGCAAAGCTACACGAGGGCT